GTCTAAAGCTCCTTTTCGCGATTTTCGCGGGATGAAGTTGCGGCAAAGCGCGTAACGGAGGTGTGGGACTAGATGAGTAGTAACAGAGGCGAAAGAGGGTAGGAGGGAGGTGAGAACACACTTAACGGTAGTCCCTTCAACGGGTCCGACAAACAGAGGTTTAACGTTGTTCGGTATAAATATAAATATACAAATATATATACATATAGTACACACACATATATATATATATTTATATATTTATCGATTTATTCGTTTATGTTTTTGGCTTGGATGGTTCAGACGCCACGATACGACGGGATAGTCGGGATGGGTCCAGGGGCAGACATTCACACAAACACGGGGAAATTTTATAGATATATTTATTGAGTACTTAGCGTGTGTAAGAGTATAGAATATGTTACCTTATTGTTAAATATATCATTACATGGTAATATATTTATATATATATTTATATATATATCATGATGTCTTTAAAATAAACCTTCCGCGCCGGCACGCGCCCGCGTTCGCGCTCGCGCTAACGCGCGCGCGTGCGTGCGTGCGTGTGTGCGTGCGTGTGTCGTTTGTATGTTCGTATGTATGTGTTGTGTGTGGCGTGCGTCTGCCTGTTTGTTTGTTCAAGATTATTTACATAATGATCGCAATTAATATGTACAAGTTCACGAAACGAAAAGGAAAAGTTACAGAGACGAACGGGCGAGCGTGGTGATCGACCGTGTCGGTGATCGCCGCCGGGGAGGTCCTTCACGCTCGCGACCTGGACTCGGATGAGCCGCGTTCACCGTCACGCCGATGCCAAGAATGAATGCCAGGTAGGGTTCCCTCAGTCGCTTTGACGTTTTTCTCTCCGTGTATCAAATTGACCGTCGTCTTCATATGAAAGTATAAAGGTCTCGGCTACGGTGAGATGATGACTCTTTTCGCGGGCACGGGTATACGAAACTACTGTCGCTAACGATAATTGTAGGTATTCTAATCAACAACACCAATGTCGCGTACGATTGTGGCCTTTCTCTACGTGACGGCTCTCTCTCTTTCTCTCTCTCTCTCTCTCTCTCTCTCTCTCTCTCTCTCTCTCGCGCGCGCGAGCGATAATAGAGAATTTTCTTCGTGTGATATCGAAATATGTGCCGCGGATGATACTAGATGATATTAGCGGTAAACGCTAATAGACGAGTCACGCGTGTCGGAGGAACAATTAGATACGTCCAAGGTGAAAATTGTCACGTGACGCGGTTCTTGCAACCGTTCCCATTGAACGCGGGAACTTTGGCGTTTGCCGTATCCGCGGTGTACTATTGCAAAGATATTCCGCAGTGTCTCGATTATCGCTCGCGAGGCCTCGTGCAGCCGAGAAGCGCTCCGGCGTCGCGCGACGTCAATGGAACGCAATATATCATTCATCTCGATCGTATGTTGTATGTACAAAACGTAAAGTATCACGCGACCGCCGTGATTTTTCGCACTGGCGTGTAGAAAGAAGCGTGACGAGTGCGTCCGACGAACACGGTCTCGGCTCGCCTGTACATATAAAAAGAACGGAAAAAAGCGCGCACGTCTTCCTTCCCTTCCTCTTGCAATAACTATCGTTAACGCAACTCGCATATTTATATATTTATATGTATATATATTAATTTTTATGTATCTCTCTCTCTCTCTCTCTTTCTCTCTACCACTCACACTCGGTTTCTTTCTCTCGTTCTCACTTTCGCTCTCGCGCTAGTTTTCCACGCATTCTTCCTCACACTTTCCTCACTTTTGACATGTTATCGTCTTTCGTTCTACGGCGTCCAAGACATACACGATAGTTACGAAGTATTGCTTTTTCTTAGTCGCGTGTCGATCGCGGCTGCCGACCGCGATCCGGCATAATAACAATAATAAATTTTGCACCTTCCTGCGATGAGCCGCGCCGAGAATCTCAGTCTTTTGTTTCGCTCGAATCTCTCGATTGCCCAAATGAACTTCATCAGTGAAAATTTGCACAAAATTGTACAGCATTTCGAGGTGGTAAAGGTATCGCTATTTTCAAATATTCGGGATCGAAGAATCAAGATTACATATATAGCGTGTACACACGCGCGTGTTTTTATATGTCCTTAATAAATTTGTATCTTATTTTAGAATTGATTAATTTCAGAATGATAAAAAATGTGTTATATACAAATTTGTTAGGGGAGACCGGAACTAGATGTCTATTTCAGAATTTTGAATTTATAACTTCTTAAGGACTGTCTACAATGAGAGTAGAGTATGGCTGTAAAAAATAAGAATAAAAAACTGACCAATTACAGTCAAGAATAATCAAAGCAGTTTTTCCTATTTTTAACTATAATATTATTCTGATTTTAATGAAACTCAGGAAAAAGTATCTATATTTTGAAACATCCTTGCGATTTTGTGTTCACTGTTCCTCGCAAGATAGATAGATAAAGGAAAACACATGAGCAACACATCTTTGAGTTCATTTAGTCTCCCCTATATATTTTCATTTTTTCTGTAAAAATAAAAATGTTACGAATATTTATCGTCAAACATAAACAATGCACGTGTGAGATTGCGACATCCGCTGACTTTGAGATTATCATTCAATGAAGCAATTGAAAATTAGTCAAAAAATAATCAATCACTCAGAATGACATAATCATTCTGAATGATTAATTACTTTTCGATTAACTTTCACTTTAACTTCATCAAATAATAATCTCGAGATCAGCGCATGTTACAAGTGTGCAGTGAAATTCAAGTGTGTTCGCTTCATTCGTGGTTCATCAAGATTTGCCGTGACATTTTTGGTTTCATGATCTTCGATATCCCACTAGAATTCGGCTGAGCAAGTTTTTTGCAATGTTGTTGAGCGATTTTTTGTTTAGTCACACGTCCGTTTCGCGGGACACGTCGCAGGAAGTATCGGGAAATCGGACGGAGGCTCTCCCGCGGCTCTTGCGCTCGAAGGAAACATGCGCTAAGCGTAAAGTTAACTCGAGTACAGGACTTTTTAACGTCGTGTTGTTTTTTTCTGTTTCTTTTTCTCTCTCCCGTTTTTTACGTATCGTTTTGCAAGTAGACGAGTACACATAGAAAACCGCTCGCGGCGTTCGCCCGACTGCCACCGAGGCGTCTCGGCGAACGTCGCCGCATGCTGAGCGTTTCTACGAGCTACAATAATGCGCGTGTCGGGTAACGGCGTGTTGTTAATGGACAACTCAGTAACAAGCGCTACGAGACTCTGTTCCCCTTCATGCTTTCTCGTAGCCGAAGAGAGATCGTTGAGAACGCAATATCGACAGAGGGATGCGGGTCACCCGAGGCGGCGCACGAGGACATCGACGGAATCCCGCCGCGTTTCAAGTTTGATTAATTTAGGATTAATTGTGCATTTACTTCAAACTGTCGAAAGTGGCAATTTGCACTGAGAGAAAAATACTTGAAAACTTGTCTGTGCGATACGAAGCTTATTTCTGCGAATAAACTTTATATTTTTCAAGTGAATTCGAAAGTATTTCTTTTCTCAGTGGGTATTCTCTGCTGAAGAATACACTGAGAAGAAATACATGAACATTTATTTGTGAAATATAAAGTTTATTTCAATGAATAAATTTTATATCCCATAAATAAATTTTGTAACAATTTTTTTTTAAAGAATACACTGAGGAGAAATACAAAAAAATTTATTTGTGAGATATAAAGTTTATTTCTGTGCATAAATTTTATATCTCACAAATAAATTTTGAAGTATTTTTTTCTCAGTGTTTTCTCTACTGAAGAATACACCGAGAAAAAATATTTGAAAATTTATCTGTGAGATATAAAGTTTATTTTTCTGCGAATCAAATTTCTATCTTACAAATAAATTTTTAAGTATTTTTTCTCAATGTACAAACGTTAGTTCACCGAATTAATGAGAAATAATTAAAGAATTAAAAATGCTTTTTGTTTGTGAGATATCATTTAACCCTTATTATAAAAAATAAAAGTCAACATAAGTTAACCTGTGTATATTCGAAGTTAAGCCTGAGATTTCGATGCAAAAATAATTTTCTATAGACTACGTTTCTGAGCTTATTCGTTCCGTCTATATGGAAACAAGTAATAATTTAACCTTTGCATCGATGGTTTGACACACGAAATAATTCGCGAATCGATACGCCTCGGGTTGTCCCCTGAGAAAGGTGTTTGATGCGCAAAACGATTGTTTCCTATCGAATGTAGACGGAATATTTAGCGAAATAATATGGGAATTGTAGCGGCGCGTCGATGGAACGTTGAAACACAAAGTAAGATGAAGGAATTCTCTTTGGCGCGCGTCACTCATGATTTTAACTCTCGGATTCGTTTTAATTTACGTATATTATTTTCTTCCTTCCTTTTTTCTTTTTTCCTTTTTTTTCTAATAACGGTACCATGTGTGCGAAATGATTCCTCGAACTCACTCGCTAATAATCTCATGTGGCTTGGTTTTAGAAATTGACGCGGAATGAAAAGTACAGCGAGACGGGCGTACTCGAGAATCAAGTATGTAAGAGTCGTAAAGATCAACGTCGCTCTGCCGCTAAAATTCTTTATGATCTCGCGGTAGAAAATTGCTTCGTGCGAGGGATGTGACGACTACTTTCGCGGGACATGTGTAGCGTGTGTGTCAGCTATACACAACGGATATGTACAGCGATGTTACCTGTTAGGTTCACTAGCACACTCCCTTAACTGTTCGCTAAATCCCACGTTAACTCGTCAACTAGTACGTACGTACGTTTGTAGTTATGATTATGTATTTTTTTATATTTTTACTTTTATCATACGCCTACGTGGAACACAACGTGATGGAGCTGCGTAGGCTCGCACGTTGGCTCACCGTACCCCTATATAATTATGCGTTATATCCGTTTTTTTTGCGTCTTTACTTTCTATATCAGTTACTTCATCCGACCTGAACCACAGACTTCGATCTACGCTTTTTACGTTTTTTTTTTTCTCCTTTATTTACCCAATATTGATAAACACCGACGAGTTCAGCTATATCAGTTACAGAGAGGAGGGGTCAAGGTTGTGCCCTGCGAAAAATGGGCGGATTGAAACGAATCGACGGAAATTCGTCGTCGGCGAGATACGAGATATATCCGCGACCATCGCGCGCGAAGTTGGGAGGATAGGCTTTCCCTGAAAGATATCTGGACTTGTATAACGGTATCATCGCTTGGCGTTGCGACTGGATAAACGCTGACATTTGAAACGGAAAGAGTGTGCTTTAATTCCAAAAGTAAGAGACATTATAGAGAAAGAATTGCTTGTCCTTTTTGATACTTGAGACGAAAGATGAAAGACAATTAGAAGGAGACGTAGAAGGACAAGTTGCAAAGATCCGATTTCGAAGATCGGCAACTCACGAGTCGTCCAGATGAATCGCCGTGTCGATTCGGATCAATTCGTCTATTTCGTGCGGGGAGCTCTCTTCGGTGGAGCGCAGGGGGTGAGATTTTCTCACGGGGCGATCCCACATACACACGGTTACATAGGACTTCTTCGACGACACAATTCAAAAAATAATTTTTCATTTTTAGTAGAAAGATAGGCGGGGCATTTTTTTCGTACAATGGTAAATATTATCGTTTTCCATTATTATTACTATATTTTTATTATTCTTATTACTTACCGTTACTATATTATTATTATTATTATTACTCATTATTATTTATCATTTATTATTTATTATTATTATTTTTTTCTGTGGACATTATTACTTCGACGCATCCCGTTATGACTGTCGCTTGTCTCTTCACGTCGCGTCACTTCGTCGTTTCGCGCGACGACGTCACGTCGCAATAGCTCTTGCTCGTTTACTTGATACCGATACTATTTACACGCGTGTCTACGTTGTCTACGACAAATCGGTAGGTTCGCTTATACTTGCAGCACCCGGCATCGGAACGCGCGTCAAATTCGAAATCGATGAGTCTTATGCTCAAGTGAGACAATTGTCGAGCGGATAGATGGGTGGAACGGCGTGAGGATCGCCCAACATTCTCGTTTCAATCGTTTCTCGATGGCTGTGGAAATTGATATCACTCATTGCTCGGCGACCCTCTTCGTGGAGATGATTGCGAGTTCCACGATTGGCGAATCGACGCGCCGTAGCACCCAATCGATCATAGCTCCTCTTTTAGCTCACTTGATCTCACTTTAAAGTACGAAATTATATCTAAGGTAAACTCTATGGATCTCGAGTTTGACGGATCTCCGCTGCGCGAGTGCCTCGCGCCTAATACTTGGCTCTGCAACATCCAATTACGCGTTTTGCACGGCGCAGTCGGTGAGAACAGCGCCGACGTCGTGCGACTATATATGCATCCGGCCGATTTGAAGCGATGATAAAGTGTGTGTACGTGTGTGTCGATCGTGCGTAGGCCTGGCTCGAGATTAACGCGATGACCATCCGTTTTCACGCGAATGTCGCGTTTTCCTCCCAAGGAGAAATCTCGCCGCGCTTGTGTCGCGTTCTCTCGTCAATAATTCGCGACGCGCGCCCTATCGCTTCGCGACTCTCCCCGTCGCGAATTTTATCGCGCTCGCGAGTCATCTCGGGGATACGAGAGTAAGTTTCTCCTATACGCGTGTGTGTCGTGTAGTTTGTTCTCGTACACTCAGTATCACGGATGCCTTATTGAATTTATTAGATCGGTAGTTACTATAAATTTCGACCAGCCATTTCCGTTTTTACCCTACGCACTTCTTGTAACTGTTGATTCATCAAGAAAGCGGGAACGTGCTCAAAGCGAAAGTGACGGTAGCTTGACATCCCGTACACAGTAAAGAGAATATTCATTCATATAACGCGCAATCAGTGAGAAAGAGTTAAGAATAAACAAGAGGTTAATATAAAATTAGAATAAATAATTAGAGAAGATAAATAGAGAAAAAAAATATAAATATACTTTCTAATTACTTATTATATAATCATACATATATAATTATTATATTTCATATATATCTTTATATATATAATTTTGTAATAAAATGCTTATCCTCCTTTCCCCTTTCTCAATTAATTAACAGTCATGAGAAACGCATAGCTAGAAGCGAATGCGGTTGGTTGAACATTTTCGGAACTATCGATCTGATAAACAGTGGTGCATCCGCAATGCCGAGTGTACACATATAAAAAAGCGGTATCGACAGTTCCACTTGAGTTTTACGACCATTCTCTCTCTCTCTCTCTCTCTCTCTCTCTCTCTCTCTCTCTCTCGTCACGTTACGATATTTTATCTACATTTACCGTTAAGTTTGAGTAGCTATATTTACAGTTGCTTGTCTCGCACCTAATACATCAATTTTTGCGTCATGTTAAAAATATCTGTTGTATATCTGTTTTCCACGTTTGTCTCTCTTTCTCCCTTTCTCTTTCTCGCTCTTTCGCTCTCTTTCGCTCACTTGCTTTTTTTCCTATGGCGTCTCACGACGCGATCTACGGCGACGTCCACGGACATTGTTAAGAAACGTGTCCACCTGCGGTCGAATGCGTCCCGGCCAGAGAATGCGAGGTTCGAACGTTCTGAATAGAGCGTTCTACAATTAGACGTTAACACAGGATAATCCTACATTCGCATGCCACGTAGGAATCTTATTTTATAGCGTCTGTTACAAAAAAATGCCCAACGAATACGACATCCGTCTCCGCGATCCCAAAGTGAAGAGTATGTATGTTGTATATGTATGCGTGCGTGTGTATATGTGTGTCTTATTCCTTGAACAATTTCAGAAATATTTCGAATCTCTTCTGTCAAAAATCATCTCCTCTTTCGCCTCGCATCGCGTGACCTTGACGCGTCCACCGTCATGGTGTTTCGCTTCTGCGTGCGCGCGTATTATGCGTCTCTCATAGACCCTGTTGCGTGAAAACATCAGTTGAAATTCGACCGACGATCCGACGAAAGTCCGACAATTTATACACATATTACAAATCAAATACTCGTGTATTTAATTTTATTCCTCCCTTCTTCTTATTCTTTTCTTCTCTTTTTTAATTCGCGAAAACGCTCTACCGGATTTCGTCGCGGACGGCACCTTGAAAGTTCACGCACGCACTTTCGTCTTGTCACACTTCTACGCGTTGAGTCGCCACCTTTGCCTCTTTTTCTCTTTCACTCTCTCTCTTTCTCTCTCTCTCTCTCTCTCTCTCTCTCTCTCTCTCTCTCTCTCTCCCTCACATTCTCTCTTTCTCCCTCGTGTCTCCTTCTCTCATCTCGCTATAAACTAATCACCATGTAACAAGCTTTATATTCTTCATTTCGTTAATAATGCGACTAGCTTAATTTTGACACTTCGCGATCCGTTCTTACACCCGTCGTCTCCGACACGGTTGATCGTGGCATCATGCGAGTATCGATCGCGATCGCATGGACGCGCTTTTATGGCACATCGACGGGGTAGGCTGTGCCAGTGGACACCGGACAAACGCATGAGTGTGCGTCCGTGGTCGCTCATGGTAGATCTCCGTCCATCCCGACGACAAGCGCGGGGAGAAGAGGCTCGAGAGGGAGGTCGAGGAGAGAAGGTAATGACGGACATCGGGCGCGCGAGTCGCGCTTCTTCTCGTCCGTCCATCCGTCCGTCTGTTCTCCGACGCGCTCCCTCTCTCTTTCTCCCATTCGTTTGTTCGTTCGTTCGAGCTCACGTTTCGGATTCACGCGCGAATCAAGTCCCAAACGATACTCCGAACTCGCGTGGTGTCTTCGAATCACGAGTCGTGCCTGTGAGTCCTGTTGCGCCGGTTGCCGCTCTTCCGCCTCTTCCTCTTTGCGTCCCGGGTGAACGCCACGTTGCCGGGGTCGTCGGCGAGCTGCGGATACCTGTGGACGCTGTGGATGTCGACGCCCTCGTAGCCGTCCACGGTGCCACGACTGATGAGTTCATCCTTCTCCTCCTTCGACCAGTCACCTCTACCTTGGAAGCCGGCCATCACTAGCTGCTTCTCGATCTCCCAGGCCCTTTCCACGGCTCGCTTGTGCGCGTGCTTGAGGATACGATGGCGCTCTTGTTCGGGATCGGCGCCGTACTTGATCACTACTGCCGCGTCCGGGTTGTGAAGTCTCAGCTCTTTCCAAGTGCCGGCGCCGTGCTCTGTTGTCTCATGAGTAGACACATTGAACATGCCACCGAGCCGATGAAGCTCCTCCATGTCGTCGCGGATTTTGAGCGCATTGTCCTTGACGAAGTAGAAGACGTCTTGATCGTGCACGCTGAAGTGCAGCGGCAAAAAGTACGAGTTGTTGAACACGGATGTCACCACGTCCTGCACCACGCTGTTCACGCCGTCCACCACGCTCACCAAGGCGCGGCCGTCTACGCGCGACACTAGGATACCCTCGCCGAACACCGCACGTCGATGCGCCACTCGCGGCAGCAGGTTCCTCGTCTTCGGCTCTAGCTTCAGCAGCGGCTTGGGCACGAAGCCCAGGTCGGAGAACTTCTCGTGCACGCGATTCACGATACATTGCAGGCCGGACATCACGCCGAAGTCTGGGGTGAGCTGAGGCGACGTGATGGTGGCGCTCGGCTGATACACCATTTGCTTCGTGTATTCTGAACCGAGCATCGAGGAGATGTCGTAACCGTAGAGCTTCAGCCAGCTCGCCAGGTCTGTCATGTACTCGACGTTCTGCTTGAAGTTGATCGGGTCATTGTTGCGGAAGCGGTAGATGAATATATCGGTCGGTGTGGTCAGTTCGTTGGCCATTTGCTCCCAGGCCGGCGTCATCCATTGACCGAGGGATGGATCGTACAGCCTCTTGTTCAAATAGATCAGCTTCGTGTTGGGATCCAGGAGGCCGCCGTGGAAATCGATAGGTAGATAGAAGTCCGGATTTGTGTCCTTGATGATCTTGCCGAACGGTGTACGTCGCATCTCCTTGATGAGATTGCCGTTGGTGTCGAAGAGTGCGAGCGGGGAACCGTTCTGATCCGTTGCGACGTAGAAACGCTGCTCGGATGTCTCCACGGTCATTAGGAAGTCACGCGAGTCGTAGAGGAATCGGAACGTTTTGGACGACTTGGGGAAGTGCACGTGCGTTATCAGATCCGGGGTCTTCGGGTTCGCGTAGAAAAATTGCGTAATGTTCTCGCGGTCGTCGTTCATGGACACCAGCCGGCCGCGATCGTCGTAGAAGTACCAGATTTGGAATTTCTTGTGCTCCGAGGAGTGAATCAGCTGGCCGCGCGAGTTATACCTGAGAAAAGGAGAGAGTTAGCAACATATGTTTACATATGTTTGTAACGAAATAATATTTTGTGATTAGTATTCCAATCGAATCACGTTTACGCGTGATTTATGCTCAAGTGCGATACTTTGCGCTCAAGTGTAGGCAACGTAAATCTGATGTCCTTAGAAGATAAAGTCTGGCTATTTGCTTTTCAAAATGGCATACTTATGCAGTAAAGATGACTCGTGTCGGAAGTGCATTACGCGTGTGACAAAAAGTGCGATCCATTTTTGAAACGCTTAAAGAAAAACCATGATTGGCCCGTATTGTACTTCAAAATATCTGTAGCGTCTAATGGATCATATCCATAATCTTTGTTCAATAATCTTGACACAATAATCCATGACACAATCCTTATTTCAATAAAGCAACCATCTTTCACGAAATTTTCATCTGAATAAGAAAATCTTGATATATAATTTCGTTCGTTATAAAAATAAATTTCATGAAATATGGTTACATTCTATTGACGTTCAATACTTTTTTTCATCGTCCCAAATGATCGGAAACCAGCGCAATTGAAAGAGCAGAAAATACATACCTGTACTTGTGTTCGCCGCGAATCACTACGAAGCCGCGTCCGTCGTACGAGTTGAATTCTACATCGCCGTACTGGACCACTCGATCGCCACTGTCGTAGCCCAAGGCGATCTTTCCGTTGTGCCCAGTCACGCCGATCACGTTACCGTTCTCGTCGTACGCGTATTGCCAGTTGTTCTCTGTGTCCGCCACCTCCAGCACATGACCGTCCGCGTTGTAAGTTATTTTCTCCAAACGAGAGCCCTCTTTCTTTTCAATCGCCTCCTTGCCGATGGTGAGCTTTCTCATCTTGATGCGATTGCGATTGTCGTACTCGAGTTCCATACGGAACACGTCGAACGTTCTGATGTTCATCAGCACGGTCTTGACGCGACCGTGCTCGTCGTAGTCTGTGACTGTGAAGAACTGTTTGCTGCTGTCTTGCATAACAGATCTGTTGAAGAGGTTCCTGTATATCCGAAGATCGCCGACGCCTTCCAACACGCCGAAATTCTGATTGTACTTGAGACGAAGTTGCGGAAGCTGTTTGCCGTTGATGTCGACCTCGATGCCGGATATGCGCGCATTGCCGTCGTACTGGTAGCGATAATGGGCGTTATCCATGCCGCTCTTGCTACTGAATTTGATCTTCTCGTCTTTCACGATACCAGCATGATATTTGTACTCGATGCGCATTTCGAAGTTCGGTTCGTTGATGTCTATGCTGCGCACTAAACTGGTGGTCTCTTGGTAGGTGTAATGTATTGACGAGAGTCCTGAGAAAAGAAAAGAATTATGGTTTGCACAATTAGTATGCTATATTTTTATTTATTCATTTATTTAGTTTTTATTTTATATTGTAAATATATTATAAAGATCATCATCCTGAGTTTTTTTAATATATAATTCTTCGATATCGTGTGCATTTAACAAATTTAAAAAATACACTTTTGCGATTTCGCTTTTCACTCCACTAAAAATCTAAATTAACTCTACCTTATATCATTGTGAGAACGTTGTTTATTAAAGTGCATAAATATACATTTTTTAACACCAATATTGTCATAATATTGTAGGATAGGCTAACTTAATCTAGATTTTTAACGGAGTGAAGGGCGAAGTCTCCTCCCTATAAAAGATGTATTTTTTTGTTATAATACATTCATATTTTTTATTTTCTAACTTTGATCAGTCATATTAGTCACTTCTAGGATTGACTACAATCACATTACAGTCAAAAGCTGAGACGGAAAACTATTTTGGACTTTGACCAAAACACTTGGTTGTTCCACATTGATTCCTAGAAGCGCCTTCGGGTTTGTAATAAAAATTACAACTGAATTTTTATAATCACTCTTAGACTACACAAAATTATTGTAATGAAACGTGTGTAACATTTTTGTACAAATATATATAATAATAATTTTGGTAACAATTCTGCATAGTCTAGAGTGATTATAAATATTCAGTTGTAATTTTTACTACAATATTTTCTCCGTATATAGTAAAGATTAATAACCGTGTATAGTAAAGATAACGTGTAACCGTAAAGATTAAATATCAACGAACCGCTTGTAATTACTTACCGGCTAGCGTCGTTTCCAGTTTTCCAGTATGATCATAAACGTAAGCAACCTTTCCACTTTGATGCGGGTACACCTTAGCGAGAATCTGACCGTCGTCGTTGTACAAGATCTCATAGGGATGCCGGTTCATCGGCGAATAGTATTGATACTTGTAGAATCCAAGAGACGTTTGAAGCGAGAAGGTATGAATGTGTCCTCTCGGCGTGGTTAGTGACTGTAACGCTCCCGCTTCGTCATACTGCAAAAGATAGTCGCTTCCACGCGGCGTGGTAACTTTCAAAGGCAAACTGCTGAACATATCTTTGAAGGCGTACACCATCGATGTTCCGTCACTGTACTTGATCTCGTACAGTCGGCCGGCTCGATCGAATCCGTAAGTTTCGCTGATGTCACCCCACGTCCAACTCGTCAGTCTGCTGAATCGATCGTACTCCAGCTCGACGCCAGCGAAAATGCCGTTCCTCGGACCCCACTTCACGGGTCTGGCCGTTCTATCGTACGTGACGTTCAGTAATTCCACTCGATCGTCCATAAACACAGCCACGGTGTTCGTTTCTCGATCGTACTCGAGAGACAGCAAGATCTCGCCGTTCACCCGAAGCTTCCTGCCGACTTGGGCGACCGCTTTCGAGTTACCGCGATTCTTATTCCCCTGGACTTTCCGCAGGAAATACCGCCACTCGAAGCGGTTAGCTAGGTCTCCGGCGATCTCTGTTCGCTGCTTAGCCGGGACAGGATAGCTCTCGCCTAACAGAGGCTCGATCTCCGCCAAGATCGAGTACGGCATAGTGTCGGTGCTGACGGTGTGAGCCCACGACGTAACTTTTCCGACTGAGCCATCGGCGAGGACTGTCGTCCTCTGTTCAGCTTCGCCGACCTTCGTAACCACTGATGATCCCTTGATCAGCATCGAGACGGGTTTCCTGTTGTTCTGGCCGACTTTCACGATTGCACCCTTCAGACTGAGATCGAAAGTCAGGCTGATCACTTTGCCGGTGGGTGTCACTGCGCTGGTCAGCCTGCCGAACTCGTCGTAATTGTAGACGTAGCTACGACCGGTGCTGTCGAGTTTAGTCTTCAGCAGACCTGTAGGTCCATGATAGTCGAAGGTGACGTTATAGTTGTCGGGTGTGCTCAGCTCGTGCAACATCTTCATCCTGGTCATCCTTAGCCGGCACTTCTGCCCCTTCGTGTTCTCGATCGAATTCACCTGACTGCTGTAATCCCTCAGCAAGAAGACCTTATTGCCGGCCGCGTCCGTCACCGTACTGAGCTTACCGTTACTGGTGTTGACGTTGTATGTGAAGAGGTACACGGTCTCACCAGTCAAGATGTTCTTCGTGGCGATGTGTTGGCCGAACCGATTGAACACATAGATCTCTTGCGTGTCGGGCGCATAGATTTCATACTCCCGTGCACCGCTCGCGTCCGGAATGCTCGCCATCACCGAGCGAATGCGGTAATTCGCCTGGTCGCCGATGTGAACCACTCCGTCGGGAGAAACCGCCACGGCAGATATGGTGTTGAATTTGGAGGTGGACGCCAAATAGTGATCGGCGTCGAAGCAATCGCAGCCGCGCTCCAGGCAGTTGCATTTGGACTCGGCGCCGGCGTACGGCGAGATCTTGCCGTCGGTGCCGATCATGCGGACGCGGTTGATCCTCTGCGAGTCGCTTTCGGCGATGTACAGATTGCCCGAGGGTCCAAACGCGATACTTTGCGGCATTACGAGGGTGGCGTGAGTGGCCAGCTCCGTGTCGAACGAGGACGACGGCGAGGCACAGTGAAGTGGGCGACCAGCGACGACCTTGACACGACCGTCCGGTGCCAACTGGAGGACCATGTGATCGTCGATCATGTGCAGCGAGTTGTCTAGAGGGTTGATCGCCAGTTCGGTTGGCCAACGCAAGTGCACTTCCTCGACGTTCAACGTTCCCTCGCAGGGTATCGGCTTCCAGTGGGACTTGTGCATGTGGTTGCCGATCACAGTAGTGATGATGCCGTCGCGGTCGACCATTCTGATGTTCGTACCATCCGCGAAGTACAGAACGTTGTCCGCGGAAACGGCCACGCCCTTGGGATAAGCGAGTTTGGCATCTCGCGCGAGTGCACCGTCGCCGCAGTGAGCCTCGTCACCAGGAAGGCAACGCTCCCCGGAGCCGACCACCGTCTCCCAGTTGTGATCGGGATCCGTATAGTCGTTGGTATCGCGAACGCGAATGATCTGATGAGATTCCGGGTCAGATATGTAGAGAAGACCATCTAATGGGCTCAAAGCGATGTGGTAACGATATGATACCCTAGTCGCACTGTAAAAAGGATCGTTAAATGAAACAGATTCAGCTGTTGGGGTGACGTCTTTTAATTTATATTAGGCGTGAAAAGTACTTGTCGTATTTGTCAAAACAGAAAACGTATTTTTTGTTAATATCTAGTGAGGGTTTCTTATCTTCTTAAATTCTTTAATTTCAACAAAATAACCAATTGCTTTCATATAAAGCAGTGCATGTTATATAGATATAAGTGACCGTCTACTTACTTTAACCTAACCACAGTTCTGACTGTTCCATCGACGAGGATCTTCCTGACTAGATTGAAATCACCCACAAAGATGGAGCCATCCGGTGCAGTGGCGAGCGCAACGGGCGCCAGGAGACGTTGTTTGGAAGCCTGTCCGTCGCAGTCGTAGCAGTCCAATGGCCTCTGGTGACCGTCTCCCATTGTAGTGAGTATGACCCTCGGCTTATGCTTCAAATAAATGTTCGAGCCGTCTCCCTTCTGCAAGATTCCTTCGTGGAAGTTGTACCTATGATGAATGTCCAAGTTCCAGCCACCGACTTCTGAGATAGACATGTCGTGGCCGCTCAATTTCGTGGTCTGTACGTCCCAGATGATATCCTTGCAATCGTTGTACTCGTAACCGACCTTGACCATCGCGGTCGTGACGCCATAGACGCGTTGGCGGTAAACGTTCAATCGGTTCCACGCGTAGGTAAACTTGATCACAGGGTCGGCCTCGAAAGTCTTCTCGAAGAGTATACCTTCGATCGTGATTCTCAGGTGTATCAGGTTCAAAGTGGCTGGGATGGACTCCGGAGTCAGCTGCAGCTGTATAGTGGAAAGATAACCGGCGGCTCTGGAGCTGTGGTATACCAGATTCAATCCCGTGCCGGGGATCTGCAAGCTCTCCTGTATGACTTGGGACTCCGCCAATATGGCGCTCTTGTCCGGGCAGGCACCTTGAAACCCGTGCTTCCAGGTTGCCAGCACGACCGGCTTCATGAGATCGTAATCATGAGCCGTGCACGCGTGCGGAACGTGGAGCGGTGGCTTCTCCTCAGCGGTGCTCATGACGATCTTGTCGATTATGACGACCTGACGCGAGATAAGTTACGTCTTAATATTATCTCCAATTCAACGTGACTTCCAGACGTCGCTGGGATTGATGGCAAAGGAGGATGTTAAAAATAAACTATTTTTCACCGATGGAGCTTTCATTAATCATTGGAAACTGTCTCTCGAATTCCAAAAAGTAATAATTATTTATCCACCAAGTCCGGAGAGAGTTATAAAAATAAAAATTTATTATTAATTGTTAAAATAGTCATATGAAGTGTTTTTAACTTTAATACTTTTTATGTCTTTAAAATAAAGTCAATTGTACATTTATGTCTTGAGTAGTAAATGTAGTGAAGTTCCTTTTCGTTTACACAATGTTTATGTGTTATACATGTGAAGGTATCGAGAAGAAAAATCTCAAATTAAAAATCTTAAAACTAATAAATTTTAGATCCTGTCATTCTACGTAGAAATATTATGAGATGAAGTTATTGAACAGTGAATACTTCAGAAGATATTTCATATTTTGCATTGAAAAGTATCAAAATAAAAATATAAAATATCTAAAAAAATATTTACTTTTCGGTGATTACATTCCAGTATTTTTATATATAAAATAATCAGAAGAATCGATTATGTTAAAAAACTATATGATTCCATTAAAAAAATTAAAGTTGACCCCAAGAGAGTTTTCTAAAGTCATTCTAAAATCAAATAAATATTATCATCTTTCTTCCCTCTTGAAATATCGTACAATTTTTGTCTAAAAAATTCCCTTCTAAAACTTGTGGGTTTTGAGATATTTTAGTATGGATAAATTAAAATGAGCACTCAGTATATTATGTAAAGCTTCATATAATTATATCAACAATTACAATAATAAATTCCGAGAATTTCATAATTTTCATAAGTTTTTATAACATTGCTCGTACCTAGTGTAGACAAATAATTGTTATTTTCTATTTCTAGAAGGTTCCAATTCTCAGTGATTAATTAATTCGATCAATGGGTTAAAAAATGGTCTATTTTAAACATTTTCTACTCGCGCATTGTGAAGAAAGTATTCCCCGCACTCAAGACTCTCGAACGTTTCACACGGCGAGATCATTGGCGAGCTCCGTTAGTTCGGGCTAGTTTGGTCCGCTCGTAGTTCAGAAGTTACGTGCAGTATGGCGATTAATTCAAATTTATGCTCACCTCGTTCCAAGGTACGAAGACGATGTGGCTCTGCGGCTTGAAGGGCGACCTGCCGAACTGCAAAGTTACGGCGCCGCCGCCGTTCACCAGCAGATCGAACCAGCCGTCGTCTCGCGTCAGGGTGAAGCCTTCTAGCGGGGTGCTGGTACTGACTCGCACTCCCATCAAGCCTGTGCCGAGGTGCGTGACGACGCGACCACGTACGACCGCCGATCGACTGTCAGAAAACGATTGTTTTTAGATTATACGAAGCCTCGCGAACCTGTCGGTAGTTTAAGATTATTTCTTCGTGTGCCTCGTGTATCGTACGCTACCAACAAAGCAAGTCTCTATTCTCTAGACTAATTTTCAATCTACAAGTAATACGATTTACTGTTCACACTTTTCAAATGTTTTCTTCGAGTGAACGTCGACGAAAAGATACTGTCACTTGACGAAGTCTAATGATGTGTTGGACACACATGTGAGATGATTTAATTTCCTCATTTTTATCTTTCTTTTTTTTTAAGTGAAAAGGTCTATTCGGTGCAAAAAAATTAGCAGTTCGCCGTCTCTTATAATTAGATTTCAGAAATCTGTAAGTGACAAGAGAGTAGGTGAAATCGATATTATCAACGACAAAATTAAGGATGTCTTTTTTATTAATTTAAATTAATCTCGCTTTTTATCTTTGTTGCAGATTTCAGCGTCTTTTTTTTTTAAAGAAGCTTTTTTCTACTAAGCCCGTGACAAAGGAGATATATGCAGGAGATTCCTCCTCGGATAATGCTTTGCCTAAGGTCCAAGTACTTTAAAAATAGACCGTGGAATTGATTCGTAGTTGTCATCGACAGATCGATATCGGCGACGGGTAGAATCGCTATAATTAAACGCAAAGTGCACTTATCGGTCGTTTAAAGAGACAGAAGCAATTGAGGTAAAATTGCATCAGGGAGTAATGTGCGTCCATTTACATGTGACAGAATCCTTTCACCGTTTAATAAGTATCTCGATATCGGGCATTGATGGCCATTGCATATGCAAATTCGTGATACATATTCAATGCGATGTACTTTCGCCAATTTTGCTTCTCAGTGCTAAAGAGGAACCACTAGGCTCACCGGTGGTCTCGATTGCTGCGCGAATAAACGCCGCGAAATGTAATCGCAGTACTTTGCCGGCGAACTTTGTATCTCTCTGTCAGACTCTCTGGCAGTTGCCGTATTTGAACGGATACATTGGACGATACTTCAACCTTTACAGTCAGTGCCTCTTTGGCACTGGAGCACTGATCGAGGATAAATCACTACTTATATATGAACAGTTAATATTTATATGTATATATATATATATACACGAATAACACAAAGTCGGAAGCTCAACGTAAAAGGCACGAAACACAACGTAGGAATCAGAAGGTAACTGAACCATGCAACGAGAATGTGATCAACAACAATGGAGGACGAAGTGCGAGCTCAAACGATCGTGGGATGTGTTTCAACTGTCGAGGTAGACTCTTAGATCGCATACCGCATCAATCGCGCATCTCATTGATCTTTTTTTTTCATCACAACTTATCGTTTTCAAGTTGACGTTGAAAGGTACATAGATATCTTCGGGATTAAAGGGAGAAAGAGAAAGAGAGAAAAAGCAAGAGACGCAATTCCTTCTTATCACGCTCATTAATTCTCGATATCTGTCTTCTCGTCATCTTGGAATCGATAGATATTACGAATAAGATGCAGGAATCTCGGATCGGGCGGTACATGATCTAAAGAGAGACCTGCTGAGATTCGAGGCGAATCAAGTCGAGAGAGGCCAGAGTTCTCATCAGGCGCAGTCGAACGCACACGCACGACTCGTCTCGATCGGATGCAGGATGTATTTTTATTATGTACATATACGTGAGAGAGATACCACAAATGCACGAAAATATGATCAAACAGCAGCAAATTCTTTGTTACCGCTACGGATCTCATTATGGATCCTCGTTCATTAATCGAGCTTTATCGACGTCTGGTTTTTCTTACCTTGTGTTGAAGTGATTCCAGAACATACTGACCGGGCAGCACGGATAAAACAGAGCCGTGTTAAAATGATGTGATTAAAGGCGAAACTAGAAGAGGTAGGATACTCCAAAGAGTATAGGTGAGGACGAAGGGGTGAAGAAGGAAGGGGGATGGTCGGGTGGGTGGGTTGTGAGCGGCAGAAAAAGAAAAGAGCGAAGGATTTCCAGGGGCGAGGATGAAAATATATAGAGGAGTCTGAGAAAAACTTTCCGCTTTTACAAAGAATTTCGATACGTCGGGATTACTAGAATTTGTGCTCGGTCCCTCCCGATAGACCCGACGCGTCGGGGAGAAAAAAAAACTGTCCGGTTATTGTATTCCCTTCCTCCCACTCTTAGCCGGCATGATGAGCGAAAAGCTCGAGGCTTAAACATGGACTCACACATTCACGCAAGCTCCACTCGGACGGACATGATAAAGAGAGAAAGAGAGAATCGAATGAACGGGGTTGTATGGACTGATACTGATGATAGATAGATCGTAAGGGACTGCAATGAAGAGATCGAGGTAAATAGAGATAGTATATGAAAGAGAGATATAGTAAGAAAAGAGAGAGAAAACGAGAAAGAGAGAGGCAGAAAGAGCAAGAGAGCGAGAGAGCGAGAGTGAAAGAGAGAGAGAGAGAGGGAGAGAGAGAGAGAGAGGGGGGGG